CTATTAAAATTATGTTTATTAACTTACTGAACCAATTTGTATATCGATTGTTCAACGTAGAAAAGCTATCGGTTCTTCTTCTTATCTGTGAACTTATGAAAATTGTTTTTATTGTTATGCTCCCCTTTCCCTTAGCTTTTCCGGAAGCCGGGTCATCAACTTTGTAATTCTATCCACAAATTTCAATCGGACCATACATACATATATTACTATACTATACTATAGTACTATACGAAATTCCGACCTGCCTCAAACACTATGCCTGCACTTACCGTATGTTAGTATCTCATTATCTTAAGGATACAGTCAAATTTCAAATGGTGTTTAGAACTGCTTATAAGGATTGTCAATAGTACAAGTTATTCTTGAACCCATTTAAAACCGGTAGCGTCACCTCATCTGGTTCCCGTCGTTTACCATCTTCATGCTAAGCGACGCCATTCATTCGAGCGTCCAGCACAGCAATTTGTTTACTTTTCCCCATTTGGTTGTGCGAATTAAATTAGCTTTAAACGCAATAAAAAGCAGGCGTATCATAGTTTTACGGATGACGTTTAGGTAAAAAATTTTATTGGCAAACGTGTATCTTGTTACTTAGTTATTCAAACATGGATGCTTCGAGTTTCTGTTATATTAATTACAATCGTTAGAACCAGATTTAAGATGTAGAGCCAACTAGCCTATAACAGCATCTTTGAATAAATTTGTTTCAGATGTAAATGCAACAGAAATTTACAGCGACACATTTTGCCTATTTGTCCAGAGCAGTATTGTTTTTAATTGCGATAACGCACTCTTCATCGCACGCCTTGAGAACGGTGCACTGAAAAAGCATAATTAAATGAATCTGTGACAAATAATAAGGTGTCGAAGCAAACTTACCAGTAAGTCCTTGCCACTGTCAAAATCTGAACGCAATTGCTCACCCAATTCGCCCTCTGGAACCTTCAAGTCTTCACGCAAATCTCCGTTCTCGTTCATCAAAGTAAGGAAGCTATCGTCACTTATTGAAATCAACTGAAGGTCCTCCCTTTTGACATTGGGCACATCCATGTTATGAGTAGATGGGCAAATATCTTCATATCTGCAAAGACGATAGACAAGGCGGATAGGAGGCGTTAAGTAAGCGGATCTGGATTTGGGTTGAGGTAGCGTCGCCGCGGTGGACTCCACACTCGACTTTTCCTCCATAAATTTATTGATAACTTTGGTCCAAGATAAGATTACTTGCGCACACTTTCCGTTGATTACATTCGAGAGCCGCGCAGCGGAGCTTCCTTTGTGCTCTCCGCAAATGCTGCTGCCACAAGAATATTCGCACGAATACACGAGTATACTCACTTCTTGTTGGTGAAAATATCAATGCCAACCATGTGAACCTTGGCGTGTCCGTGCTTTCCAGTCTTTGAAGTAGACATCTCGACAATCTTGCATGGCCGCGACTTCAGCATGACGAATCCGTTTTTGCGCAATGCCGAACATTGCATGGGATAGGTGTTCGATGCACCGGAGTCAGCGGTCTCGAAATGATCGTCCAACTCAGCCATATCTGCGGCAGAAGAAATGATTGGATTAATTATTTAAATTATTATTCGATTAAGTGATTTCGCGATTTGAATGCATTCACACTAAGGCACAAAGACACTGGCTGGTTTAAGAAGAACATAATATACCTCGGCGTTCTATGGGTACATACAGACACAGACCAATTCGCACATATGTATGTAAATACGAGCGTGTGCAAACCGAAAAAATGCATACATATGTATGTATATACGTGTCGGCGAATGTATGTATCCAAAATGTCGTATGCCAAATTGCACACCCAGGCACTTTAATGTTCAAACATTTCATTTGGCAAAGTCATCGAGACACGGCACTCGAAAGTTGTGTACTGCTTTTTTGCACATGTGTGTATGTGTGTGTGTGTAAATACTTTCTTTCGCACATTACTGAATATGCCGAGACGACCGGAGGTTAATTCTAGCTTCCACGGGGATTTCGAGTGTTTCGCCCAGCTGCAAGTGCACTTAACCTCGCCCGCCGGTACTCGGCCAAATTTGCAGTTTTTTTATCAGCAAAAATGCGAAATTACTAACCTACTTGCAAAGTCTGTGACTGTTCCAAACGAAGATGTAAAATGAAAGAACCCTGCTATCGAATCAAACCCACGTTTTGTTTCCGGTCAATAATAAGAAACGCGCAGTGCTGCATCTTAGCACCCGGATTTTCAGCGCCGGTAGCTGTACCAAGTTTAGGAACGGTGGAAGTGGAACAAGAAAAATGTGCAATATTTTCGCCAAACTCTAATTGGCCTGCCAACTCAGTCTAAACTTAATCAAATATATATATGTACATATGATGTATCTGCAAGACTAGCCCCTCTTTATTTTTTACCTACATGGCCTGCCAACTCGGTTTAAATAAAGAAAATTTAATGAAAAATTGCAAACATTTAATTTTATGAATCATTATGTATTTGGTGCTTAAAATGTCTCTGTAAGTATTAATAATATTTAAGACTTTAACTTGCTCAGTTCATTTACACAAGTTATATGCATGACTTGAAGGCTATTGCAATTTACTGCTGATTTACTTTTTTAAAATATACCTCAATGGGCAGCGACGGTATGAAATTATCGTTTTCCAGGTGCGTGATTTTTCTGGACCTCTGCGGCTTTGACCTTGCCTTAATATGGGGCTGCCTCACTTTTAAAGTGCCACTGGAAATAGTCATGATGGCCGATTCTGTAACTAAGGCGTGTTTTTCCTCCGGTATTCCATCGCCGCGAGCTTTTGCCAAAGTGTGACTTATCGCCTGCGTTGCGTTTTTAACGATAACGCTGTCATCGACGTCCGCCGATTTCCGAGTGCTTGCGGTTGTTCGGCGCTTAAGCTTGTTTATTGATGCGGATTCCGCTGTTGTGTTTTTCGTGTGTTCTGGCATTGTAGTGGAGTTCAAGTGTTTGCGCCGCTGGTAAATCCTTTTCGGTAAACTCTTTTTGAATTCTCCCTTGGCTTTGATCGAGTCTGTAGAATTCCTCGAAATCTGCACCGGAACCTTTTTGGTCGAAGCCAAAACTCGCAGTTTTCTCAGTTTTCTATTGACGCTGGTTCTTCTTCTTGGCGGCGTGGGTGTTGTTGTTGTTGTAGTCGTTTCTGGCACCGTGGTGTTGTTGTCGAGAACAGCTGGAGTTGTTAGATTCTGAACGTTCTTGGGCGTTTCCCTAGTGGTAACTAGGTTCTTAAGATGCAGCTTTAAGAGTTTTAGTTTGGTTTCAATGCTCGAGGAAAAGTTTTTGGTCGCTTTCAGGGACTTCAGTCTATGCTTATAGGATCCTGTTGTAACATTCGCCATAGAATAGACGCTCTCTTCGGGTTGCGGTGTTGTCCATTTCGGGGGATCCTCAGAGGCCGCAGCTTCGGTTGTTGTGGTGCTGGAGGTAGTGGGGCTAAACCAGCTTGGTCTGGTGCTATATCTGTACTCCATGTCCAACACCGTAGTTTTCCCCGGAAAAGTGAATTCAGTGGTCGTGGTAGTGGCGGTTGCAGACGGCGTAGTGGGCTCAAATCGCTCAGTGAAAAGCTCCTGGGGTCTTTGCGTTGTGAGTACTTGGATACTGGGGCGAAACTGTTGGTCAGGTGCTGGAGATTTCGCGAGTTTCGATGCGGAATGGGGCAGAATGACGTCGTCCAGGGTGAAGTAGGTGTGCGCAACGTAGTTGAAGTAGGGCATAGTAGTTGTCGTGGTCACCGGCAGGTCGCTGGCCATGCTCTGCGAGCTATACTGGTCCCTAGCATACTCCTGGTACGGAACCTGGAGGCAGTTTTCGCGACACTGCTTCCAGCGGTCGTTGGAGACGTGGGACTCGGAGTGGTTCCACTGACTCGGAGCGCCAAGTAGGCGTTCTGCGCTTGGAAGGGTTCCCGCCGTCAGGGGCACGAACGCGTTGACTGGGGCTACACTGAAGCCAACGGGTGGGTTTATTGGGGGGGAACTGTAATCAATCGTATTAAGCGGGGCCGCAACGTAGTCCACTGGGGAAGTGGCAGTGGGCGGGGATGTGCCTTTGAACCCATTTACTTTGCTCAAGTCTCTGAAGATGCTCCTGAAAGAAATCAACCAGGATTATACTTGTGCACACATGGAATAGGTGCTGATAGAAACCTCTTTGAATTCGCATAGGCCTCCTGGAACTGGACAGGTGAGTGAACGTATCTGGGCAGCATGTGCATGTTGCGCATATAGTTTTTTAGCCGCATTTTGCCTACCAAAACTGGGGTCCTGGTGTTGTACCAGTAGAACTTTCGCATGGCGTTCGGATGCTGTCTATATAGGACAATCGCCGGATGATCCACGGGCCACATCTGAAAGTCGATTCGGGCGTTCAAACTTTCGCTTTTCCTGGCGCGAAATCCGCATCGAATATTTACCTGGCGTTTTGGCCTCATATAGGTGGAGGATGCCTTAATGCTGAGCAGTATGTAGAGCAGTCCTGAAGCAGAGCAGGTGAGCTTAATTGGAATTTAGTTGATTTTAACCTTCATACCAGTGGTCATGTAAATGACAATAATGCTGCTTTTCACTTTCCCCAACATCTTGAGCGAATACTTTTGGCTGCAGACAATTCAAGACTACCAGCATTAGTTTTCCATCCACATTACTTGGTACTTGATTCAAAGAGATTGGTGCTTTTCAGGGGGATATACACTTGCCAAATCACTCACGTCTGTATTTTTCTTTGCTCGAGGTATACATATGTAAGTGCATTTATTTCCTGACACCTTTGCCTGGTGTTCTTCGAAAACGCGTCCCAAAGGTCCTTAAAAACTATTCAATATTCTACTTTAATATCCGACTAGGTTCCCGAGTGAATGATGGTTGCCAAGCGAGTTCCCAGATGCTGCATCCAAATGTTGGCGTGTGTGCTATGGAGCATAAAACTCAACGCTTGGACAAGCTCATCTTCTGTTATAATTGTTGCATCTAAATGATTGAGCACACTTTCAAAAGGTATGCACACTTTCCAAACTTCCCAAGCAAAGCAATCGATTTGCGCAGAACTTTGATACCCATTAATGCATCTGAAGTTTGCGTGCAGTTGCATACATTATAAAAACTATGTTTTCTTCTTATCTTTCCATTAATCTTGACGACATTTTGCGCTTTAGGACGCTCTGAACTTCGCGTGCATCCCTCAGTATTTAAATAAAGGATGGGCATTTATATTGCAATCAGTTATAAAGAAAACGTGGAAAGGATTTCATGAATACGAAATGTGGCGGAAGGCAGTGGCGATGTTTTGTGAATTTATAAGGTCTTTTATGACGACCTTTAGTGGATTTCTCAAGTCTTTTGTGCAAAAAAAGGGGTAACTTTTATCGTTTGAGGATGTTGCCTGCGGTTCGAAAAACTAGCATTCCTTTGCAGGCTGCTTTGGATTTTTGTGCTCGGCGTTTCTGGATGGAGCACGGTTACTATATTGGTTCTTTTAAAAAACAGATACGAAACGGACTCCACGACCATAGGGGTGTCGACTGCCTACAGTCGCTGGATAAACACCTTCCCATCGATAGCAGTCTGCTTGACAAAAACCCGAGTGACAACCGAATTCCAATACGAACTCCAGAAATACTTAGGTCAAAACTTAAGCTACACCATTGCAAAAACTATATACGAATATGCTTTTATTAACCCTAACAACTTGAACGAGAAGGTAGCCTCTTGCAAGAGTCCGTGTGATGTCGATATTACGAAGTTAAGAAGAGAGGTCTCGCATGAATTGGCCTTTAGATAGTATTTTAACTAAACTAACATATGTACTTCTAGTTTTTTCCAACAAATTGCACTGAGTTCTTTGAGAAAGTATACTTTCGTGACGAATTGATGCCAGATTGCGAAGAGATATTCAAGTTTCATGAGACGGAAATGGGCTACTGCTTTCTGGCAAACAATCTATTGGACTAGTACGTTTTATTAGTAGTTCAAATCATAAATAAATTACTCCTCCTCCAGTAAGACTATCGAAGATATGCCTCTCAGGTATTCTTCGTTGGACAAAAACCGAAATCTGCGATTGATCTTCCGACAAGCTTTAATATATGCATATGAGGTGTGATAAGTTCCAGGTTCACAGAAAGCTAGTATTGGCAACAATTAAATTTGTGTTCCTTAGTTGTATGTAAACAGCCCTGAGGATCTGCCCTTCTTCAATGCCTTGTCCTACGGCATCTCCAACGAACCCCAAATACACGCCTTCAATGTCGAGGAGATTCACAATCAGGAGGGTGTCATCGACGAGCCCGTTTCCCAAAGGAAGTGCAAGTTCCCAAGCGAAAGTTCTGTCGAGGGGTTTCCTTACAGGTGAGTGGGTGAGTCCTCATCCGGAGTAACCACCTTATGTTCCCCCAGCTTCTCGACCTGCATGTCCGTCATCCGGAGTCAGTTTGAGATGGAACTCTGCAACTGCACGCTATTCAACCCCAAGGATCGCAGTACGTTAGCCACTTTAACGTGAAGACTTTATTGCCCTCTTTCTTTTGTAGACGAAAGTATCTATTGCGGAATAGCGGCTACCCAATGCTTAGAGCGCGGTGATTTAGATTACCTTAAGAGAAGAAAATCGTTGTAATCGTATAATTTCAGCGAACTTGGCATCAAAAGTGAAGGAGTATGTTGGAAAGAACATGGTTTGCTTGCCATCCTGCGTGGAGCAGCAGATAAGTTTAGTGGGGTAAAAAGGCCTCGAACTGATTTATTTCCTTGGTAATACACCTTCTATTGTAGGTCCATTATGGATACGAAAAACGTATACAAGAATGGAGAACACGTCGTCGAAGTTCAAATAGCCTCTCCACCCACAGCGAGGTATCACAGATCAGTCACGCAAACAAAACTGGATCTAATAGGTAGGACTGCCCAGTCGGCTCACTTGGGACTAATCCCCAAACCCTTTTTTAGTTGGCATCGGAAGTGTGGTAGGACTCTTCTTCGGCGCATCCCTGCTGAACCTCTTGGAGATCATTTCGTACTTCATAAGAACAGTCAAGACTATGATTTTTGGTTAGGGCCTTTATTGTTTTTCGCTCTTGAACTTTGCCACAGCTTGTGCAAAAATGAATAAAATAATTCGGATTATTAATTATTATTATCGAACAAATCAAGGTGATAGTTTGCGATTTCGTTTTCTATGAAGATATTTAGGTCTCGGGAGTTATCATTCTTAACTTTATGCACAGAAGTGTTAACATTTTGTTTCTTATAACGCAGCCCAACTCTGAAAAGAAGTACATAAGTCAGCATTCTCCCGCAACGTGCTATTCGCTTACATTCTTATAGAGGGTATGTCAGGAGAGCTCCTCATTTTGTCGGATGACTTTGCTCTTAGGTAGCGGTGCTTGAGATCGACGCCAGAATGTTCGTCCTGAAAAGGAACAGCATATGGACTCCACTTAGTTAAGCACTGGATCGATGTCCGTTTACTCACATCTCTCATGTTGTAGGTTATTGCCAAGTTGTTGACGAAGCTCTCCAGGAATTCCGGATAAGAGTCCAGTACGTCCAGCAAGTCGTCCCTGTGCAGTTTATGGATATCACAATATGTCAGTGCTCTTACCACGCCATTCGACTTTCCGACCGTTGGGTGTATGCACGGATTTTCACCAAATATATCGTTTTTACCTTAAGCAGTAGTAGTTTTAATTCAATTATCAATTGATCACTGAACTCACTGAACTCACCTAGTACGACAATATTGCCGGCTCTCTGGATTTCAATGGATCCCCTGGCTATGAAATACAAGGAGGTGAGCACATCTCCTCGGTGGACTAGAATATCACCAGGCGGGGCATGAGTGGTTTTAAACTTGAGGGAGAACGCTCTGCAAATTTAAAAACTAGTTATTTTACCTTACCAATCTTCTGGCCCTCAAACACTCACCGTAGGCAACCGGGACTTGCCTCCGAGAAAGCCGCGCATGTCGTCAGCAACTTTCTGTTCAAGTGCAGGCAAATGTCGGCTTGTAGGCACTCGGGGAATCCCTTGAGCAGCGAGTTCATGTCGATTCCATTCGTATCTTAAAAGGCAGTGGATTAGAATGAGAAAAGGGACAATCAAGCGATATTACAGGTCCACGCGTGCTGAAAGTACTCCTCCAGCCTCTGCCTGAGCGGGTTTGGTATCTGCAGAAGAGTAAGGTGCTCAGTTCTATACTATACTATATGCTATATAAGGATGTGCGTGCTTGGTACCTGGTGGAAGCGAATAAACTCCCTAACGCGCAGCATTTGGGTGTGATATCTGGCGGTTCCAGAGTATAGCCTTTGAATAATGGCAGATACGTTTCCAAAAATACTTGCATACATAAGAGCTTGAAGAGGAAATTAAAGGTCTCAATACACGTATTTAGAGAAATATATCGAGGTTGCCTACATCCAACGAGCATCACGCAAATAGTGAATGCCTTTTCAGCATCAGTATTCGGTGCCACATTGCCAAATCCCACGGAAGTGAGCGAGGTGAACGTGAAATACAAAGCTGTGATATAGCGCGACTGAAAAGGATCGTTTTAGAGTCATGCGGATTAGGTGGTCGGAAGGAAGCTCTACCTTTATAGAGGGACCACCAGTTCGGTTGTCGAAATAGGGTTCTTGAATATCGTAGGCCAACGAATTGAGCCAACCGATGTTCTTGGAAGCGATCGATTTTTCCGCATTTCCAATCGCATACCTTAAATAGAGTTAAGCAATTCCAAAAACAAATCGACTAATATCAGGCTAGTTTACCATATGCATGCCAACCAATGGGCAATCAAAATAAAGGTCGCCATCAACAAAATAAGAACTGCAGCTCCGTATTCCGAATAACGATCTATTTTTCGGGCCACGCGAACGAGTCTTAAGAGTCGAGCTGTTTTTAAAAGTCCTATTAAGGTAGTTGTCTGAAATGCGGAGTGCAGGCATTAATCAATTCCATGTAGGAGTGCATAGATGGGTCTCACCTCGTCGGTGTCACTGCCCACCAGGAGCAAATCAAATGGAACAGCGGCCACCAGATCGATTAGGAACCAGCCGCTCAAGTAGTGAACTGCTATGCGCCCAGGATGGGATACCTAGAACGAGTGTGGTTTATTTTAATTTCCAATTTGGGTACTTCACCGCGCTGACCACTTCGTCCTGGGAGTTGACAAAGGTCGTTCGAAAGTTTATTATAATGTCAACAATGAAGGTAACATCCACTGAAAAGTTCCATTGATAAAGTTCCCATACAATGCATCATTGCATCATTAAAGCTCACCAATCAAATCAATGATGACAATTGGATCGGAGTTGATGTACTTGTTGTTCCGCCTCTGGTAATCCTGTTCTCCAAGCAGAAAGGCAGCCACGTACGGCGTGAAAATGGCCGTATACATCACCAGGATCAATATTATCCAATCCCACACAGCCTTGAAGGGCGAGTAATGCAGGAGAGTCCACTTGTGGTAGTAGTTGTTCTGCAACTTCTGGTCCAGCAGTATGTTTCCCCCCAGGGAGGTAATCTGATGAAGGAATTTAATCAGTACAGTACTTTAATCGACTGGTTCAGATATACCATGTCGTTGGGATCTTGCCCCTTCGGCTCGCTTTTCGATCCGAGCAGAGCCTCCTTGTCCAGCATGTCGTCATATGAGCTCCCCAACACGTTGTCAGTCGCTTTTTCGGCCTGACTGTATTTCAGGTTCTTGAACATGCACTCGTAGGAAGTGCCTTTGTGGTTCTGGAAGAGGTCGGCGTTATTTTTGCGCAATGGGTCATACGAGCAATGGAGATCGCAGTCCCGCCTGGCGGACACCTGGTAGTTCTTTATATACAGCTTCTTTTTGTCGCACTTGATGCATTTTTTGAAACATTTCTGCTTTTTGTGCTGACTTGGCTTGGGTTCGATTGGGATATTATTAGGTTCAATTGCACTTTCCCCCTTGATGGGCTTCACTTTCTTCAAGCACTCCCTTTTATTGTTGATTTTGAATAGTAGCGGCGAAAAAAAGCAATCTGCAGTGGCTTTTGGGAACGGCTTATCCTTCGATTTCGCACCCGCCTTCAGTTTTAATGCTTCATCATCGTTAGTGGGTCGATTCCTCAGGAATTTGTGGTACACCAGAGTGTTGTGGTCGGACACGTTCTTCGGAAACCTGGTCAAACTCTCCTTCTTGTCGTCGAACATGCTTGCGTTAATCAGGATATCTGAAACAAAAACCTGCTTCTTTTCAATTTTATTCAGGTTGCACATGAGCGAGAATAGTTCCCTCTCCACAAATTTGTTCGATTTGGCAGGGCAATTTCGTTTAAATTCCTTTAAAGGCGGTTTCTTAGCGGCATTATCGTTTAAATTGTTGTTGGACATGTACAGCTCGCATTGCTGCACTATTTTATCCAATTTTCGGATTTCGCTCAGTTCCACGCAAGATTTGTGGGACATTTTGCAATTTTCAAGTCTGCAAAATATGAAAACGGAAAAGTGTTGCAAATTATAATCAAACATTCGCAAAGCTCAGAATATGCGGATTTGGAAGGAAATTCAAATAGATATTCGCTTAAAAAAGCCAGACATGTGATATTTCCACTTATTCTATATTGAAATTGGCGAAAACTGCGATTTATTACCTAATGCACTTTTTTATTTACTCGCAAATCAAAACAGAACAGGTATGGCATGCACACGGAGAAATCCGGAGTTGAAATTCATTTATAATCAATTAAAAACACTTCAACTTGATTTTTGACGTAACACATTCTCATTTTTTTAAGAAAGATTCTAGATAAATTAAATAACTAAATGAATATATGTAACTGCATGCAATTTTCATTTCAAAGTCACCTGCATTATAGAACATTTATTTCCAGTGTAATCAGGCTTTGCTTTTCTAAAATTTTCGGACATGCGTACTGCTTTCGGTTTTGAAAGTTTCGAAACCACCGTGATTTCCGAACCATTGTTATTTTAGTTCTCGCATTCGGTCACACTATTTTCAAACGTAAACAATTGATTTTTCCTGCTAAATAAAAGTTGTTGAAAATGTCGGGAATTGCTGCTAAAAAGATTGCCGAGGCGGAGGACCTGGTGAAGCAGGCCGAGAAAAGGTTTCCTTAGCAAAAACATCCTTATAAAGGGATTCCCAAATACAACCCATTTGTCTTTGCAGCTTGAAGTTGTCCATGCTGAAATGGGTTCCTGATTACGATAGTGCTGCGGATGAGTATTCCAAAGCTGGTGAGTTTCACAAAGTAGCAGTGACTAGTATCATCCAGAGTATCTATCTATGAATAGATTATGACATCAAAAAGATTTGTGGCTACTATGTATTTCAACTAACAGTTATCCTATAGCATCCACAACTTTCAAGATACACACATATTGCTGTACCTACATACATACATATACTTATGTATCTTTGTTGTAAATTTTTAATTCCAGCCACTGCATATCGAATAGCTAAAAGTTATGATAAGAGCAAGGAGTGCTTTCTGAAGGCCATCGATGCCTATAAAAACAATAAGTCTTGGTTCCATGCAGCAAAGGCATACGAGCAGGTGAGCTTAAATTGACGTTAATATATAAGCTAAACCCCTTCAAATGGTTATATCTTCTAGATCATATTGCTATCTAAGGATGCGGATAAGCTACACGAAGTGGAGGAATACGCCAACAAATCTGCAAGTTTGTATCAACAGCATGGTTCCCCAGAGGCAGCCGCATCCGCCTTGGATAAAGCCGCAAAGTTAACTGAATCCAAGCATCCTGACATGGCTTTGCGGTTTTATCAGCATGCTTTAGAAGTTATAATGGTTCGTGCTATTTTACACAACTCTAAGCGTCCTTTCTTAAACTATTTATTGCATACTCACCTGACAGATCGAGGATTCCGTCCGTCAAGCAGCCGAGTATGCATCAAAAGTGTCCAGGATACTGGTCAAACTTAGGAGGTAGGTGTATATATGTTCGCCACATATCACTTTGGGCATCGTCAACTATTATCATTTATTCACGCCAGGTACGATGAGGCCACAAATGCGCTCAAAAAGGAGATCAGCTTGAATCAGCAAACGGAATCATACGGACAAATTGGTCGCCTAGTTGTGGCCTTGGTGATGGTCCAATTGGCTCGCGGGGATTCCGTGGAAGCCGAAAAGACCTTCAGGGAGTGGGGCAACTGCTGCGAGCCGGAAGAAGTGTCCACACTGCAAACGCTTTTACAAGCCTTCGATGACGAGGATCCCGAGTTAGCTGCTAGGATGCTGGCATCCCCATTTATCCGACATATGGACGTTGAGTACGCTATTCTATCCAAAAACATTCCACTACCTCAGGGTATACAGCTGGAGAAGAAGGCCGGCGACAATGCTGTTGTAAGTACAACTATTCTTAAAATGCAACCTGCAGCTGTGATTTTCGTTTAAGATGTTATCGATAGCAGATTAAAGTTATATGTGTAATCGATAGGAGCATTGCGAGGACCACCTAAAAAGCTAATAAGAATTTCGAATTTTCTCTCTTGCAGGAAACCAACGACGCCGAGGACGAAGGTGGCTTGTGCTAAATTTCTTAATATTCGGTCTGCTTGTTAGTCAAAATATATTTATCGTTAATAATATCGCTTTTAACATATTATATTAACTGTTAAATACAAATTTCATCGCAATCGTTGTACTAATTAATAAATACTAAGAGCTATACAATACAAAAAAGAATAGCATTGGCTAAGGAATGAATTAATATTCGGGGAAAAATATCCTATTAATCAACTAGAATAAGTTTAATTATGTTTGATATTATTTCCTATGTTCCGAAACAGCGAATTTATTATGATTCAATTTTGTAGTTTTTCAACTTAAAGACCATAGTATAGCCTAATTTGTTAATATTAATAAAGTACATGGCTCGAACCTATCTACACAAGCAATTACGTAGCTTTTTTTTTATAGCGCGCTCAACATTTTGATTATTTTTCGAAAGAGCGAATATGTGCCATTCCACTGTTCCAATGGCTAAGCAAACGTCGCGGAGCGTCACGACGCATATTGATATTTCGCAGTAGCCTGGCAACCCTAACCTGTGCGAAATAACCGACCAAATTGATTCGTCCGGTTGTTCGTGAAAGAAGGCGGAAGGTTAAACAGTATTTGTAAAATATATACTCGGCGAGGAAGCAATTTGAGAATTGTGAAAGCAGATAAATACAGGAAAAATGGTACGTACACTTGGATCTCTCATTCAGATTCGGTGGGAAAAGCGGCCGGTCATTGAGTATTATTGGGAGTGAGGTGGAGTGCGAATAATGTCTTCGATTCGATGAATCATATAAGCATCTCTCCTTTGAAATCTGTATATACATACATTCAGATAAGTGTGTATATATCAATCATACATATATTTCCACTTTTTTTTGCCTATATGTTCGTTGGCCATATTCGGGCATATACATGGTCATGAGTGTGTGCGTATACATATATACCAAATTAGTCATTGGTAGCAGCGGATATTACTCATTTATTGGAGTGTTTCATACATCTCCGTCGCCGCTCACACTCATAACTGGCAAATTCGCGAAAGGCAATCGCGAAAGAATGCTCAAAAGTGGCAGCTGGAAAAATGGAGCGATTAAAAATTGAAATGTTGGAAAGAGAAATGCACACACATTGGGTTTTCATGTCTATACATATATATATTTTTACACACTTGAGCGTGTGTGGGTATACCGCTTTTTTTATAATTCGATGGCTATAAATATGTGCGTATGTATGTATCTACGGGGCAATGCTTAATGCTTATTTTCTCGCAGACTCAAAATGTGTGTATGTACGTACATATTACCATACAGAAATATGTATAAATATATATCCATATACATATATTTAAGGTGTGATCGTTTCCTTGCCGCCTTGCGGATGTACATACATACATACACATGTACGTATGATGTCTGGATGTGTGTGTGCAGCAGACGGCTGTATGCATGTGTGACGATTTTGATTTTCTCGACATTTTCCGAATATTATGGAAGATTGGAAATTTTCCTCCGTTTTATGAACGCAACGAAAGCATGGGGGAAAAAGCCACCTCCCTTTTGGTTTTCCTTCTCCCTTTTGTCGGCTTGTTCTCACCCTTAAACTTGCCGGCACTTGTGAACTTACCCTTGAACTTTCCGAGTGCCGGGAAAAAAGAAGGGAAAATCGAGCTGTAAATGGTGCCACGCCCACCACTCCCATAAGCAAAGTCGTTGTGCCAAGTGTGCGCACGCCTTAGCCGGTAAAAGTTCTTCGGTGACAGTGCAAATAGGTAGCATAAATTATTTACCTTTATGTTTGTTATTGCCGGCAATCAAAGAAATAAAATTGCAAAGCCAAAAAGGGACAGCTATATTGTCAGCTGAAAGTGGGCAGTTATGTCTGCCAGTCAGTTACATACGCACACATGTACGTACGTACATCAGTAAGGTACAGGGTGCCTCGTGTCTTATGTTGAGCCTCAACTGCACTTATTCTTGCAATTCAAACTACACAGCATTTCGTCAAGATCTCATAAGCTAATACATGCAAGAAATACAACATAGAGCACCCTGTATTTTCGCACATTTGGCGCGCATTGAACGTTCAAAAACATTCTTTGATTTTTATTTCTACATTTATTTTTTTTAAAGGCTTCTGGTGTAACTGTGTCTGATGTCTGCAAGACTACATACGAGGAAATAAAGAAGGACAAAAAACATCGCTATGTGATTTTCTACATTCGCGATGAGAAGCAGATTGATGTGGAGACTGTGGCAGATCGCAACGCCGAGTACGACCAGTTTCTAGAAGATATCCAGAAATGCGGACCTGGAGAGTGCCGGTAAGTTCCGCGGGCTTAGAGACCCTCAGGGCAAACAAAACTAACTGAATTCATCATCTATTCGCTTGCACAGGTACGGACTGTTCGATTTTGAGTACATGCACCAGTGTCAAGGCACCTCTGAGAGTTCAAAGAAGCAAAAGCTGTTCCTTATGTCGTGGTGTCCCGATACTGCCAAGGTATGCGAATCAGCGTAGCCAAGCCTGGGCGCCGAACTTATTTCGATTCCATCCACAGGTCAAGAAGAAGATGTTGTACTCTAGCTCCTTCGATGCTCTCAAGAAGTCGCTCGTGGGCGTGCAAAAGTACATACAAGCCACTGATCTTTCCGAAGCCTCCCGGGAAGCCGTCGAGGAGAAACTCCGGGCCACCGACCGCCAATAAACTGTATGAGCACTGTGCATTGCATTTAACAAACAAGGCATGCATGAAACAGCGATGGAAACACGTATCCTGTTGAGATCGCCAATTTGTATGAGAATTTTCTACATAATTTGTATTTTCAGTAGAAATAAAGAATGAAATATTTAACTTGACCAAGTCGCATTTCCAATGCGGTAAAAATCTCGTACCGCAGGATACACTTTATTATTAGGAGCTAGGATACGATGACGGTTCTTATAACTTACAAACTGAACGCTTAATAGCCATGCTGAATCACTAGAGTCTGGAGAACCTTGCGAATCTGGTGGCCAGTGTTCAGGCACGACTTCAAGCCCAGCGAGAAGGCCACTGTTAGGATGTCGATTGCGTGTTCCTGCAGCAGCACCGACATCTCCGGCAGATTGTCGATGGCCGTCGCTGCCACCGAGGAGTTCTCGTCGCGCAGGCACTGAATGTAGGCGTTCAGGGTGCACTGGTTAATGTCCGAGTTGCCGGGATTGTGCTTGAGATGTCTGATCAGGATGATGAAGGCGATGGACCGAATCTGGGCGCTCGGCGAGAATATAAGATTGAGGAGTCGTTCGAACAGCTCGTTGATGAACACAAATCTTTTGGAAGTTAGGCACTCCAGCTCCTGCATGGGACCCAATACCACGTCCTCCGTGTTGGCCTGCTTAATGATCTTGACCAGCTCGAGGAAGTGCGGCGATATGTCCGCGTAGTTCGATCGGCTGTACGAGCCCAAGGTAAGAACCGATAAGGGACCTCTACTGCTGCTCGCATCGCTGGGTGTTTGCGGGATAACTTCGATTGGTTCCTCGGTTACCACGGGCTTGCTGACCGATGGCTTTACATCGAAGTGCTCATCCAGATCGTACTCGTACTTAACATCCTCGTCGTCTAATTCTGTGGCCGAGTGCGACTTGTGCTGCAGCAGGGCAACGGCCTGGACCAAAACCTGGAGTTTGCCCAGTGAGGTGTATTTGGCAGCGAGTTCTTTGAGGATGCCCACGTACTGTTCGATGAAGAGGAGAGCACTTGAGGGATTGTAGTTGATGTACGCCTGGAGCATCTGCACAAACTTATTCAGCATTTGGCAGGCCTCCTTAACGTTGCTGTGGTGCTTAAAGAAATTGAAGTAGCACGACAGCGTGTTTTGTATCTCGTTCTTGTACGCCTCCTCAAAGATGGTTGGTTGCAGCAGCTCCAGTGTCCTCAGGATCTGTACGAATCGGTGAAAGTGATGCTCCTCCCGCAAGGCCTTCATGCTGATCTGGGCCCGACCCTGCATAATGGACGACAGCACGCCCAGCTGGCGAAGGAACAGCAGCGGGTGGGAGGCAGCCAGCTTGCGAAGGAGCAGCTCGGTGTCCGTAGACAGGGTTTCAAAGTCCTTCTTACCCACAAGACTACCCAAGCAGGTGATTAGATTGTTGGACACCTTGTCGGCCTGGCAGCCCTTCAGATTCTGCAATTTGTACGCCTTCTCGCCGGTTTTGCTCGGTTTCAGGAACTTGATGCGCGGATACATGATGTACATCTGCTGGAGGACCTGTAGTTTCAAGTAGTCGGACACCGAACTGTTCTCCACGTGCTCCATTACCTTGACCATGAGGTCTCGACGCTTCTCTGTGAGCTTAAACAGTAGGTTCATTCGCGAGCAGAGCTTGAAATCATAGTTTTTGCTGTCCAGCTTGACCTCGGATAAACCTTCGTGGAGGATAAAGTGGGAAAACGGCTCCAGTTCAGAGGTCCTCAGCATGAAGGAGGCATCCGGCCGTACGTTCTTGGACATGTACTTTTCGCGGCCCTTCCACAGTTTCGGATTGGTGGTCAGTGCCTCAAAATAATTGAGAACCGTAGCGTAGTCGTAGTCTTCATGGAAATTCTTGAACAAGTACTCGGCAATCCTTTCGATCGTGTCCCAGTTGGTTTGGTGGTTGATCAGGGACAACAGATAGAACCTAAACTCGCTGCAGGACTTTGAGAACAGAAAGCGCTCCTTCATCAGCTGCGTTGAAACAATCTCGGGATCCATTTCGGACAGCCAGTCGATGAAGAGGCCGTTGTGGAACAGCTGGTCACTCTTGGACTTAACCACAGTCTTGCAGTCCTTGATCTGATCGAAGCTTTGGACGATCCCCCTGACGATTCGCTTCCTTGCCACCAAGGCGGTATTCGCCTTAAACTGCTGCACATAAATCTCGCGCGAGTTTCTCAGCATGAACACCAAGCTCTCATGGTAGAGTTCGGATTTCTGCAGCAGACTGGAGTCGGCGAACGTGTGCTTGAACACACTAAAGTTCTTTTGCAGAGCGTTCTCTAGTATGTGGTATTTGTCGCTGTGCAGCATACAGCTGAAGAAGGTCCTTAAAAATGTGCAGGCGTGACGGCTCATCGTGACATTGCAGCCCACGGCCAGCACGTCTGTTATGGCGGTAACCACATCACCTCTATTGCTATGCGGGCTTGCTAG